GAACTTGTGCTCGGAAGTGAAAGTACTTGTACTCGGAAACCAGTACTTGACCTGTCTTTGTACTCGGCAGTTGAAGTACTTGGCAGTACTTGGTACTCGAAAAAAAGTACTCGACTACAACACTGATTTTAAACAACATGGATGTGCCCTTTCTACTGATGAATGGCAAGAAATCGGGACTATGATCATGTTCTTTTAGATTAGATAAAGTATTTTAGAGCCTGGAATTCCCCTTTAATAGCAGTATATGTTTTTATCATAAATTTTTTGCAGTGCCTGCCCCTATAGGACATGCTGCTCGCAAGGAATCTCTTGATGCAGAGCCTGAGGAGAGCACATTTGAGCCATGCACAGACAGCCAATCTGGTGAAAGAGCAGTTGGTGAACCTGACTGTTCAGAAATGGAAGATGAACTTGGGGAGTTGCAGGATTCAGAATATATCCCATCCTCATCATCTGACTCATCAGACAGCATCCCCAATCCAAACGGTAAACTTTAATTATAGAGTTTGACAGAACGAAGAAGATGTTGGCATCCATCAGGAGTGACAAACTCGTCATAGATAAGTTTGTTACGAACCGTCATCGACAGCTGGCCAAATACTTGCGGTAACAGGAAGAGGACATCACTCGTATGTTCAATGTTTGGCATGTTGCTAAAGGTACTTTTAGAAGTTAATTTCACAATAGTACATGAACATGGGTGTTAAAAAAGCTTGTTCTGCTGGCACAAATAATTGTGAACATGAATATATGTGATTTTTATAAATATCATTTGTGCTATAATCAGCTTTATTCTATTCCTTTCTTTTGTCAGGAGTGAAGAAGAAAGTTGAGAAACTTTCAAAGCGAGGCTTCAAAGAAGACTTTGAGAAATGTGTTGCCAACATGGCCATTTAAGTGTCTAAATAGTCTAAGAATGTCAAAATCACCATGATCACTAACATACATGTACTCAGGATACCAGGGGACAGGAAGCTTAACAGTTGCCATTAAAAGTATCAGCATGTCATGATGCTGATAATGTTTTGTGTCTTTCGGTCAACTTCCTTCATTATTTGGTTTTGATTTTTGATTTATATTTTAAAGACACTATGGTAGTCAGGACCACAACTCTGGCAATGCTTTATGTATCAAAGATAGAAAAGTTTATTCAGCTTGTAAGGGCGACCTGAAGATGTTGTAGAATTCTTTGAAAAGTTATCTTTGAAAAGTTAAAGAGGTTGAAAAATAACTGTGATGTCTCACAAAGAGAAACGAATAAGGTCTACAGCAAAGTTAAGAGAGTACTAGGTCTTTGGGAAGAGAATTAAATCAGGTATTGGAAAGTGAGCTAGGAAAAGACTGGCCTCCTGTTGAAGGAAGAAGTGGCATGTCAAGGATGTACTGCCAGTTCTGGATTGTAACAAGAGCGACAGTGTGTCGGATGAAGGTGATACAGGTGACTAGATAGAAAGTAAGGCTACATCAGACTAGGGCACTGTGGTTTCTGATGAGAGCTTCAGTTCGTCACATGAAGAGTCACTTGCCAGGCTGATGAGTTACACATACGTCCCAGCATTACAAACAAGTCATGCTTTCAGACTGTGTCACTGTGTTCACTCAAAATTCAGTTCTTCTCCAAAGAAAGAACTCCCAAAAGTACATGGAAAATTGAAATGCGTCATCATTCACTTGTCAATCAAAGTCAACCAGTACATGTATGTGAACCTCTTTTAGAGCCATAAAAATTATAAAAAGGTTTTTTTAACTCAGTGTCATTCACGCTCAGAAAGAAGCCATGCCGGTATTGCTTCTTTACATTCCAGTTTCATGAAAGAGGCTCCATCATTAGAGGTTAAAGGTGGCCGGAGTAATTAGCATGCCCTGTCAACACAGTGGCCAACTACTGGTAGTCCAGGTATGACCATGCCAGTCTGGTTGGTCAATAGTCTTGGTTATGGGGAAACCATGTTTGCCAGCCAGAGAAAACTGATTTCCAGCGAGGCAATGCTTACTGAGAGTTCATCTAGAGTAGGCATCAAAAAATCGGGAAAATACGATCAGTGCAAAACTGAAACTGCTTACAAAAATTGGGAGGGGGGGAGGTTAGTTAAAAAAGTTCATTAAAGATGTTTTACTGACACCCTTAGATATTTTCTGATCTTGGAATGTTGGCAGCCATGTTGTACAAGGACTTTAATAGCTATTGGTACTTAATACAGGGTGGATGGAATTTACACGTACATAGATATACTGTACCTGTATTTGCAGTGGCCTTGAGCTTATTTTCGTAGTAGGGGATTTCCTGCATGTACATCCTCAATGAATTCAATTCTAATGACCAACTCCTACAGCCACAAGAAAACCGGGGATGATATGTGCATCCCGTTTTGTACTACCATCCTCAAGGCAGGCCAGTGCGCGTAGATGCTACGACATAATACATCCCTCATACCACAGAGGTAAACAGCTTAGCATCAACAAAGTATGTTTTCTGTGGCTATTTCTTGGTTGGCACTATCACATTTCCAAGCTTGCAACCACGATAAGCGTCGGAACTGTAAGCATCAGGTTTTTGGCTGCATGCAGTTGTACATACACTTGGCAACCATTCTCAGAAACTGAAAAAATACTCTCAAGTTTTGCCCTACGCTACAGCTCTATGCTTATATTAAGCAGAACCATAACAACCATTCTTGCCAACTTGATACCATAAACACTGCCCAAGGGCATGTGCCCCAATAATTCCTTGGACAGATAACTTTCAAACAATGGGGATACATGCAGGTTTCAAGACTGCATTATGATCGAGAAATGTGACAAGCACATCACTCAAAGGATGAGGTGTATCCCCTGGGTGTCGGGCACAGAGCTGCCTGTTCAGTGTACATAAGAAATTACTACCACAAAACAAAAGCTTCAGAACCTCCAGCATACTTATTCTGGCCCAGTGGTCTGTGCAAATCTGGCAGAATAGCAAGTTGGCAAGATAAAAAAACCTTTCTTTTGTTACAGCAACACTTCTAGGAAAGGAATTCATGTGAATGCAGGTTTGCTTCATGTGCTAAAATGGGTATCTTTCCTAGCCGAAGTTTTCTTACATGTTTTTCTTGGCCAGTCAGGGTTGACTTTAACATAGACGGTCTGACATGCAAACTGGCTCTCCCTTCTGACGAACAAAAGAAAGGTCAATATGATACATTAATACCCCTCAGGTCATCGGTTAGAAACTATTTTGTTGAATTGATTCTTTATGAACTGCCCAACCTGGTGCATGGACTCACGAGTCTGTCCTTCCATCCAGCTCATCTCCACAACGACCTTCCCTTCAGAAACTCGGACTATCAGCAAGCACTTGAATAGGAACTCCGCTTCCTGTCTGCTGCCCTCTTGAGGGCTGACTTGCCCAGATTGGGCCTTGGCACTGTTTGCATTCAAGGGAGAAACATGGGTGGGGGCCTCTTTAACAGCTGGTGTTGGCGTGAGGTTTGCACTACCGTCAGCATCCTGTTGGCTGCCCTCTTGAGGGCTGACTTGCCCAGGCTGGGCCTTGGCACTGTTTGCATTCAAGGGAGAAACAAGGGTGGGGGCCTCCTTCACAGCTGGCGTTGGCGTGAGGTTTGCACTACCGTCAGCATCCTGTTGGCTGCCCTCTGGATTCTCGAAGCTTCTGAGATTCTCAGAGGAAGAAATATGAGAGGTGGGCTCTTTCAAGGTCAACACAGCTGCAGAATTTGCGCCTAAGTCAGTTTCCTGCCTGCTGGCCTCTGGCAGACTGTCCCGCACGGTGTGTGGAGTTATCGTGCCTTCAGAGTTTTCAGCTCTGTCAGCCGACTGTTTCTGTGATTCACATATCATAGTGGGATGTTTTCCTGAGCCCTCACCAGAGGCATCCATCTTCTCTCCATCTGCATCACTTGAGTTCTCTGGGGAGACTACAATCCCAGCATTGCTGCTACTACTACCACTGACATGTTTGTCTGTTGCCATTGCTTCATCATCATCGTGATGCTCGCCTCGAGTTGCACTTGGACCAGATGTACATCCGTCATGCATAGTCTCATAGTTGATTTCGATGCAACGGTCACCTTTTTTTCCACAAGACAGTGGCATTGTTTTGACTGCACTCTCGGCTTCAACTGGCTTCATGTCTCTGGCGGCACTGCTGCTGCTGTCAGATTCAGCGCCTGTGGATGCACTATTGCCCAACGGAAGTCTCGTTACAGCAGTCTCGGGAACTGGAGTGGCTGTTTCCTTTGCCAGGAGATGTCTGTTCATCTGACGTCTTTTCCGTCGTTGGTTCAACCAGGTGTTCTGGAGAGCAGTCAAGACATACCTTGAACACAGCTTGGGCGCAGACTTGGACTTAAAGTCAATCTAGATGGGACAAAATAAAAAAACAATTGTTTGAACTGAGATTTATGCATATTTTCCTGAATTCAATTAGGGAAAAAATTACTAAAAAACTTCAAGTCAACTTAGTTCTTTAATTAACCCTCCTATGCTGCAGTCATTCTTTGGGTCATTTGGTAAACACCTCAAAGAAGCACAGCTGTGTCGTGTTGTGCACTGCACC